CATTAGGGCCTCCCTGGTGGCGCAAGGGGTTAAGCACCACACTATGAAGCAATCCGCAGCCTCTGCAGCATGAGTTCGATCCCCACCTGGCCAGGGAGAAACCCACATGGCGAGGCAGACCTCTCCTGTCTCGCCCGTTGCTCCCCTCAGCGGTGTATTTCAGTCAGTCTGCCTGTTCTGTTCCCCACTCTGTCTCTGGTGGATCCTCTCACCCCCCGCATCTGGCCTGTACCCCAGCTCTTGTATGCATAAATAAATAAATCTTTAAAAAAAAAGGGAGTCATGATTAGAGTACAACTAATTATGATTTAATTTCATACCCTCATAAGAGTTTTCGTTTAAATACAACCAGAAGTGAGAAAATATCCTTTGATCAGACCACAGCCCCCTTTGTGGGTCGCTGAGAAAATATGACCGGCATCAATCCTAGCAAAAGCAAATCAAAGCCAGACAACATGTTTCCTGAGCTCCATGTGTCCTGGCTGGCTGGCTTTCAGAGTGCTGGTCTATTTTGAAATGAAACGTCTTAATTTTTCAAAGTATGTTTTCACACACATTTTATCAGATATTAACAAACACTGAATATTTAAGGCAAAACCTTAAAAATTAAAAAAAAATTTAAGGTAATATTCTTGGCCTCCTTGGTGGCACAGGGGTTAAAGTCTCAGTGCTACCAAGCTGTCTCTAGCCCTGGCATGAGTTTAATCCCCCGCCAGGGAGCAGCCCACATGGCGCAGCAGACCTCTCCTGTCCCCCCGCTGCTCCCCTCAGCAGTGGATTTCAGTCAGTCTGCCTGTTCTGTTCCCCGCTCTGTCTCTGGTGAATCCTCTCACCGCCTCCCCACCCCCTGGCACCTCTGGCCTACACCCCAGTTCTTGTATGCATAAATAAATCTTTGGGGAAAAAAAGGTAGTCTCCACTCATTCATCAACTCATCCATTCATCAACTCATCCATCCCATGAATTTAATTTTTTTGCTCTCCTCTCCCTAACGCTGAATCCCTTTTTTTTTAAGTTTTTTTTTTTTTTACAAGACGCACCTATTTATGCATACAAGAGCTGGGGTACAGGCCACAGATGCGGGAGGTGAGAGGAAGCAGCAGCAGCGGGTGAGGCAGGAGAGGTCTGCTGTGCCATGTGGGCCACTCCCCGGCCCACCGGGGGCTGGAACTCCTGCTGCAGAGGCTTCAGATTGCTTCACAGTGCGGTGCCCAATCCCCTCTCAACCCCCGCACCTCTGGCCTGTACCCCAGTTCTTCCATGTGTGAATAAATTTTTAAAAAAAATGAGTCACATTAAATCCAGTGAATTGTGCAACTAGCTATGAAGCCAGCTACTTCCTTGGCTGGTGATCAATTCATTTAGCATTTTGTTTTCTTCCCCTCATTATTAACACACCTGGGGTATTCCCATCCACTGCAGTTTTAACCTTATTTACTCTCAAAATAGAGGCTGACAATAGAGGTCTGTCTGCCACCCTCCACCAGCACCAGAGCTGGACAAACAGACGGGGGAGGGGAGCTCAGACGGGCAAGAGGAAGAGCAGGCCTCCACGTGCTCTCAGCTCAGGGCACACACAGGCCTGTGTCCTTTCTACCTTTTCTCCAAAGCCCTCCTTTGCTGACTGGGTCACAAGAAACACAGAGAGCAGGTGTCCGGACAATCAGACTTGTACTTTCAGCGTAAGGTTTCCTGCTGCCTTAGGGACAGTCACACATTACTTAAAGCTTTTCCACGTCATTTCCTGCCCAGGCAATCATGGTGCAGTAGAAAGGCCAGGGAGGGCTGTGACTTGCTCTCAGGCACGCAGGGTCCGGGGAGCACATGCTGTCCACAGGCCTCCAACCTTCTCGCCCAGCCCAGCGCGCTTCTCTGAGGCTATGCCACCTCTGACTTCATGTTGTCTCTGAGAGATCTTGTTCGTCTGCCATGTGGCTGACAAATGTATCTGGCGAAAGTGGGTTTCTCTCAGCTGCTGACTAACAGAGACCATCAGTATTTGCAGCACAGCTCTAGAAACAGGAGACCCACCTCCCACTGTGCCCACGACAATTTCTCAGGGAGTGTGGGACAAAACAGGAATGAAATAAGAAGTTGCAGCAACTGAAAAAATACAGTATTTTTTTTAGCAGATCAAGCAATGGGGCTGTTGGAAGCATAACACTGAGTATGGATCCACGCGAGACACAACAAACACGAGAACAAGGAGCGAGCCTGCGGCAGCTCAGCCAGCACAGTAAGTGGCAGAGCGTCTGCCCCAGGAGTCCCTGCTCCGGTGGTGCTTGAAGACCCTGTGGCAGGCGGGTCTGTTGACTCTCGCGAGTACGTGTTTTGTCATGCTCTAAGACATCCCCGTCACGTGTGCTTTTTCAGTGTTTTCATACATTCAAGTCTGTGATGTGCACGTGGGGAAAGCGCCAAATAAGACACCCCAAGAGTTTCAGAATGTGTCTCCAGACGCCCCAATCTGGCAGGAAGAGAATTTTGAGCTAAGAGCAATGAAATCCCTTGAGGCTGAGAAGCTTCTGTCCTGGCCGGAGTCTGTGCCCTGCCCTAACTGAAGAGCTTCTTCTCTGCGTGTGCCCTTTTCCTAACTGAAGACATAATCCTTGACGACCTAGAAGGATGTGGTGTGGAGGGCCCCATGCAGGTGTGGGTTTCTCCACGAACCCTCTGAGGTTATTTTAACTCTCCACATGAGGATGAGGTCACCCCTTCTAGTCTGCCCTATCAAGTCCCCTCCCCTTCCTTGAGGACCGTGTTCCCTAAGTGCAGGATAAATACTCCTGGCCTGCTCTATTATTCAGAATTTACAAGCATGCACATTCTTCACACATATGTCATTGAGTTTTGGCCTGCTGGTCTACAGACCTGATACCTACTTGTTTGTCTAGCCCAGAACACAGATGGGCTGGGGAATGACCGGCTGCACCCTGAGAGCAGAAAGGTTCCTGCCAAGCTAGCAGAACCCCTGGGGAGGCCTTGAATTCCTGTGGGAGTCTCCAAGCTCCATCTGCTTCCTGCCCCCCAGGGCACAGCCACCCCTTAGGACCTCTCCACCTGAGGTGAAGATCAATGAAAACTGCTACCCCCTGGCTCCCGCACCCTTCAGGAAGGAAGGTGAAGAACCAGGCAACCAGGTGTGTGGAACGTGAGTGAAAGAGGTTGTTATAAACAGATGCGTCCCTGACCAGCCAGAGGCCAGGACTGACCATGAGCATTTATTTTGCTGTGAATACTGTATGTAAAGAATGTATCTTTTTTTTCCATTATCACCTAACATGACTTTTTTTTTTTAAGATTTATTTATTTATTATTTATACAAGCACTGGGTACAGTCAGAAGCGCGGGAGGGTGAGAGGATTCACCAGAGCCAGAGCGGGGAGCAGAGCAGGCAGAAGGACCGAAGTACACTGCTGAGGGGAGCAGCGGGTGGCAGGAGAGGTCTGCGCGCCATGTGGGACCCTCCTCCGGTGGCCGGGGAGCAGCTGGGGATCGAACTGGTGCCGCAGAGGCTGTGGGCAGCTTCGCAACCCAGCGCTCAACCACTGCGCCACTGGGGAGGCCCTAACATGACTTTTAAAAAAAAAGATTTTATTTATGCATACAAGAACTGGGGTACTGGCCAGAGGTGGGGGCGGGGGCGGTGAGAGGATTCACCAGAGATGGGAGCAGAACAGGCAGATCTACTGAAATACGCTGCTGAGGGGAGCAGCGGGCGGGACAGGAGAGGTCTGCTGCGTCAAGTGGGTCAGCTCCCTGGCTGGGGATCAAACTCCGGCCACCGTGGCTGGCAAGAGCTTTGCAGCACTGAGACTTTAACCCCTGCGCCACCAGGGAGGCCCAACATGATGACTTTTATGCCACAGGATTCGAGCTACCGGATATCGAGAATGGTATCACGTAAGGACATCTACCCACACCTGCATCCTGTGGGTCTGACCGCTTCGGAGAGCCTCCAGATGCAGCCCTGGGATCAAGGGTCACTTCTTATCGCTCTCCAGGTGACGGCAATGTGCTTCCAGAACTGAACTCTCTCACTTAAGGACTAGAGTGATTAACTCATGTCAGGAGAAAAAAGTTTGGGGGGAAATTTATCGCCTGGGCTATTTTTCACAGCTAGTAGTCAACCCTCTCCTCACCCGCCACCCCCCCAAAAAAAAAATCACACACACAAAAACACCAAAAAGCGTCTTGAAAAAGTGTTTTGAGAATTTACTGTACAGTTTTTTAACTATTTATACGTTGGCTTCTACATGCTTATATTTGTTTAAAACATTTTATACATATTCTTTACAATTTGTACATATATTAAATGGCTGTATCATAAACGGTGTTTTATGAGATTTTATAAAAGAAAAATCACATCGGGAAAATTACTTATAAAACATTAACAAAAACCCGTGATGTTGAAGAACAGGAAGTTCCCATATTCATGTTCATCTGATTTCCTCTTCATTTTTTGGTTTCACTTTATTCATGCTGGCCCGCACTTTCCACTTTTCATACTATCATCATCAGGGGAGAAGGAGGAAGGCGGTGAGGGCGCATGTTGTAAGGCAGCTGTGGGACGGGCCCCGGGGAGGAGACGGAGCTGCGGGGCCGGGGCGAGCTCGGGGCTGTGGAGAAGGCTCTGCTTCACGCCCTTAGCTGAAGAGCGCACGAGCTGGTCTGCCCAGCACAACTGGGCCTCAAGTGGGAGGTACCGGCGGAAGAGGGGCCCTCTGACCTGTCCCTCCAAAGCCCTGGGGGCGTTCACCAGCCCCAAACCGGTTCACTGAGCTGTGTGCCCGGTTGGCCCAGCGGCCGCTCTCCGCAGCGTTTCTCACTCTGACCGGAGCGCGAGACACTCAGGAGCAGCGAGCGGCCCCCAGCGCAGGCAGCCTCCACCCCGGGGCGGAGTCAGGGCCAGCGAGACGCGGCCATCGTCCTCCGCGTCGAGGCCGCCCTCCCGGTGCGGGCCGCGAGGGCAGGAGAGGACACGCGCCCGCGGCGCCCCGGGGCCTGGGGCAGGAGAGGCGGCCCAGGGGGGGCGGCCTCCGACCCGCCCTCCTGAGGAGACAGCCCTTGCGCCCGAAACAGGTCCGGGGAAGAAGGCAGCTGCTCCCGCGCAGGCAGGAGCCCAGAGGAACGAAGAGTTATAAAAATATACAAACATACATACTTTTTATTCTGGCATAGGTCATATCTTTAAGAAAGCAATTAGTAATTATCTGACCTTGGGTAAGAACCGGAAGAAGTGGATAACTTATAAATTATAATTTTATGTAAAATATCAGTGGGGAAACCCCTCATTTTCCATTCAAAGTTCTGATAACTACTTTCCAAAAATAGAGAGCGCCTCCCTGGCCTGAACAACGGCCGTGAGAACAAAGACCGTCCCCAAGAACCGGGGCCTTGGGCTGCTTATTAAAGTAAATGCAGTTTTCTTGCAGCTCTTTTTGGTTTTCTTTTCTGTGTTGCTTGTAAAGGGGTAAAAAAGTTAACCGCATCGCCCCGAGTCAGAAAGAAGCACTTGGGAGTTTTCTTCATGTTCGAGGTGGTTCTACATGACCGGGAAGCGGCCGAGGGCCTGCCTCAGCTTTTCGGCAATCTGGTGAGAAAACAAAGTTTTGAGAAAGCACCTCCTTGCGACTGGCCGGTATTCTAGCACTTCCACTCACATGAGCGAAGCATCTCAAACACTTTCACTGGCTTTCGCTCCCAGTCTGGCCCCACCCAGCAGCCACATGGCTTCCAGGGAGGCCTCCACATCCCGCCTGGTGCTGCAGGGGGCCCGCTAACCCCCTGGCCCAGGGAGTCGCGTGCGTGGGGTTTCACCCTTGCTGAGAGTCCCCTGCCCTCTGGGGCACCTGCCCGCCTGGTGCCCACGGTGTGGAAGCCCCCACCCCCACTGGAAAGCTAAAGCCTGTGTGCCGCACCCCCCCACGCTGCCCCCACTCTTGGAGGCGCGGATGCCTCCAACACCCTGACCCTATCGGGGAGGTGTCCAGACGTGTCCGGCTCTCAGTGTGTGCTCCGCACACAGACATTTCCATTTCAACAACGGAGTGGTCACTTCTCCATAACCTGTCAGGTCTAGCAAAGACAGTGACAACAAACGGGACTTTGTATCCCGAATCACCATGTCGCCAATAAACCTTGCCTGGGCTGAGTTATCTGACAAGTCCACAGCATCAGCATCTCATGAGTTGCCCTAGAATGTTCTGTCACAGAGAACAATGTGACCTGCTGAGGTGGCGACACCGTGAGCAGCCAGACAATGGCACTGGTGAGCACTGGGCAAGGGTGGGCTGCAGCCGGGGGTGGGGTGTGGGGAGGGAGGGCACCACGTGGGGAGGCGGCTTTGTGGAAAGGCGCGCCCAGAGTGGGCTGCTCCCCCCCTGTCCTCCACAGGCATCAAGCACATCATTGCCCCCCCTCCCCAGGCTCTGCAGTGGGAGGAATGTCCAGCCCAGGAACGACACGTGGGAGTGAGATTCTGGGCTTGCCAACTGCACTGCCGGGCGCTGGCAGAGCACCACCTGGGGAGCAGCAGGAGACGGCAGAACAATGCCCCGCTGCACCCTGAGCTTGCCTTCAGATGCAGGGGCTCCACTTACAAGGCAGGTACACCCACATGCTAGTGAATGGCAAAATGACCTCACAGGGGCACCAGGGTTTACACTTCATTACTGTTTTCTGAAAGAAAATGTTTAAGGCCCACACATGCCTTCCCTCTTGCTCCTTTCTGTCCCCCTGCACTGTGCAGCCTTACTCCCCCACACGGCCCTGGGGTGCTGAGTGGTGCCAGGCGCCATCCCCAGCTGAGCAGCTTGGGCAGTGGGGTGACCTCACCCTATTCACCAGTGTCCCTGGCGCAGGGAGGCTGGGGTGGGGGTGGGGGGCAGAATCGCACAGTAAGGACTTCCGGGGTCTTAAAGCCATCATCTGAGACCCCTTCTTCAAAAGAAAGCCTTTCAAAACTAAGCGAAAGCAAAGATAGATGCAATTCAAAGAGATTAAAAAACAAGCCCATTCAGTCTTTTCCCTCTTTTGGCTACAATCAGATTAACTTCTCATGGTGACAGAAAGTGACCCCGAATCCTCCTGCCCCGACTCACCGTCTCGTAGAACTGCACCTGCTGCTCCAGGTAGAGGCGGATGACGCTGTTGTAGTCATAGATGCGGTTGGTGTGGAAGTGATTCATCTCCGCTGCAACCAAACAAGGCGCTGTCAGCAGTGGCCGCGGCCCCTGCTCTGGGGGAGCCCCAGCCACAGGCTGGGCCTCACCCGCTCCGGAGGAGGAGGGTGGGGGGGCAGCTCTTGGCAAATCACCACAGAGACTGGAGGAACCATCTGAACGCTTAACGGCAAACACCACTTTCCAGTAAATTGATGATTTTCCTTGACTATACGTCAAATACGAGGCCTAACACCAGAACACGGCCGACTGCTCAGACAGGACGGCCCAGGCAGGAGAGGGACTCAGGCATGCTCTCTGAGGACTTGGTGCAGGACCAGGCCCAGCATGACCACAAAGGTGTCTCGAGGTGCCTGTGACAGGTGGGAGGCCCTTCTTACAGCACTCCCATCCCCTCACCTGCCTCTCCCTTACGCTTCAGGCCTAGAAAGCACTGTGGGCCCATCTGCCCAGAAAGCGCTCACTTCTGAGTTTTACTTAAGCTGCTTGAACTATTCAAAGCTTCTCATTTGCCAACGTGCCTGGCCTCTTTCTCTCCTGGAGGCAGAGCCTCCTCACAGGCCTCCAGAGCACAGCTGCAGCGGCTGCCGGGCCCTCTGCCCCGCCAACCCGCCGCACTGTCAGACCCTGAGCACGGCTGTTTGCCCCCACAAACTTTTTAATGGTCTCTTCACACCCACACAAAGTCTAGATTCTTCTGCTCAGCTTTCAAGGTCCTAACAATGACAGGTGAGCCCCATAACTTTCAAGTGTTATCTCCAAGGTGAGTGGCCGGGCCCACCTTTCTGCGGGCTTCCATCCGTGTCAGAACATCTCCCTCACCCTCAGTCACTGGCTGGGAAAATCCGTTTGTGGCCCCTTCCTGCCAGAGACTCGCACAGCAACCCTCCCCCTTCTCCTAACACACCTCGAGAACGTGGCCTCAAACTCCCTCCATCTGCCGGTGCTGGGGCAGCAAGGATGCCCCTCTGCGCTCAATGCAGGGCTGGGGGGTTGAACACAGCAGGGTGACTGGTGCTCGTGCTGAGGCCACAAAGGAAAGGGACTTCTAAGAAATGACAGCCAAGCACAGGTGTCTCCAGGCTGCTGCGCAGTCACACTGGGGCGTGTGGAAGAGCAGGTTCCTGTCAGCGCTGGCCAACGGCTTGTGAGTTTGTGCTCCATCAGCTCCAACTTATTGAACTATTTATTTTATTTTTTTCCATTTACCAAACTTGGTCATGTTTGGATTTCACTCCAGCAAGGAAAATCTAGGCCTTCCTGCTCTTCTGGGGAAAGACAACCCACAGTTATACACGAGCCCGCCTCACCTTGCAGAGCGTAAGACATGGTGCCCACTCGCTTCACCATGTTCTGCTTGTCCTGTGGGGTGATCTTACTAGCCGCGACCAGCTTATCACTTTCTTTCACCTTTTCTATCGCTCCCTGTGAAATATAAGACATGACTGTGTTAACAAAGCCAACCTGACAGCTGTAGGCACCAGTTTAAAACACCACGCTAACGCATTCTATAACTGACCGCTACCCAACAGGAAAATGTCCCCCAAAGCAGGAGCACAGGAAGGCACCAGTGTGTGGCTTCCTTTCAGCCGTGGGAGCCGAGCCAGTCACAGGAGGACAGGAGGCCAGATGTACGGCTCATGCTACAGCAGAACCGAAGCCAGTGGCACACGGATTTTGTAATATTACAAAACATTCCCCACGGGAAGGCAGCCTGCAGGAGACCTGGCGCGAGCAGCCTGAGAATGTCCCTGGGCCGGGCAGTCCAGCACCGTCTCCTCCGTCAGAGAATGGAGTGTTTTATGAGGCCGGCTCCTCGTGCCGACAGGAAGCCCTGCAGTTCACTAGCATTTCCGTGAGAAGTACTGGCTCGATTTACAGTTCCCACTGAGATGAAGTGGCTGTGCAAGCTGCCAGGCGCCCCTCCAACTCCAGTATCATCACATTCCTCTCGATCTAGAGCTGCCTGGAGAGAAAATCTCTATCCTCATGCGTAAATTAGGCTCCAGGCCGAGAACTCAGAGCTGGCAAAACCCCCCACAAGCTAACTGTTCTGAGAATTTTTTAAACTGAGATTTTAATTTTACTAATTTCATTTCCCCCCAGTTTTACTGAGGTAAACTGACATCACACTGCATTATTTTAAGGTGTACATCAGAGATGTGATACACGGCCAGCGTGTGTGGAGAAGTCATTACATATACACAAGTACTGAAAGGATCACCACGGTAAGTTTTGTTAATGTCAATCACCTCCGATAGTTACACATTTCCCGTGCTGAGAATGTGTAAGCTCTGCTCTCCCACTAATTCCGCTTTTGGGTATACGTCCACAGGAAAGGAAATCACCATCCTAGAGAGCTGCCTGCGTGCCCATCATGTATTCACGAATGCTAAGGTCGAAAATAGCCTAAGGTCCTCTGGTGGGGTGTGGCTAAGAAATGTCCTCGGCCTTCTCAGACGTCACTTGTGGTGCAAGAAGCTGCCCTTTGCGACACTTTCACGGGAAGCTGATGCTAGAAAGCGTCACTTGCCAGGATCGAAGGGAGCACCAGCCTGTCCTGTGTGGATTCTCCCGATAAAGCCACAGCGCACTGCCACTAACCGAGCACCCACAGTCCTGGGGTAGTATGTAGACTTTAAATGAGAAAATTTATCTAGAATCAAAATGACACCTTCAGCCAATCTGTGATAAAAGTATCTGCATAAAGGAAATTATAGTTCTTTTTATTAATACAAACACAAAATTGACCATTTTCATTCTAATTCGGAAGCCACTCCCTAGGCTCAGGGTGGGACCTCTTAGTTCCTCTTGCCAGGGAAGGACTCAAGGACTCGCCCCAGCAGCTTACAGGTCTGAGGAGTGAGAGCACCACTCCTACTAGCATCTGGACTTTCCAGCCCCACCACTACTGTGCTTGACACGGGATCTAATTACAGGCACAAGGGGATCTTCTTCATATTTCCGGCCCTCTCAAAATACCCCTTTGATAGAATAAAAGAAATGGAAAACCAGCCACATGGGCTGACTTGTCAAGGAAGCTCAGCTCCTAGAGGGGAATGCAGGGAGCGAGGCCGCAGGCCACCCGCCTGGCCTGGGTCTCCACAACTATGTCGGGTCACATTACATTACCTTGTGAGTGCCGATGATGTCAGGGAAGCAGCCGAGGAAGCCTTTGTACTCATGATTGCACTCCATCAGGAAGTGCAGGTCCTTCTTGGGCTGCAACAAGACACAGGCTGGTGAGTCCCAACAGTCACAGAAAATAAGACTGTGTCATGTGTGGTGTGGGTTAGCCAGATCTTCCAGGCACTACATTAAGGGGTTCAGTGTTAACAATTCAGCCTACTTTTCTTACAAGAAAATAATGCTCAAGATTCTCAGTCATAGGCTGCAAAGAAAATGACAAGAAAGTGACAAAACAGCAGACAATTTTTAGGTCAACTGGTAAAAGTGGTTATGTTGGAGTGGCCTGAAATATAACATTACAGGGGGAAAAACCAGTCGACACTATGTTTACATATAAGCAAACGAGGTTATAAATTAAAACCTACATTTCAGCACAAAATATAAAATCATTATTAAAACTTCAGCAATCATTTAATGTGGAAACTTATAAATGTTCCATTTTTGTGAAATTAAGACTTATATTGACTATGTCACAGTTGTAAAAACTCATGTTTCCCATCACGAGTATTGGGAGAGCGGTCAGGGACCACACAAGTGTGTGCACTGGTGCCCGGCACACGCGTACCACCTTCATCTGAAAAAGTGTTTTAATTTAGGGGTCTGGGCACAAGGTTATTCCTCTCAACAAACTCATCTTTGTGGAAGGGCTGGGTGTGGGTCCCTGAGGATGCCCACAAAAGTGCCCCCTGGCGGGAGGGAGGCGGCAGAGCTCCTGAGACGCTCACATTGGGTCCTACTGACCCCACTTCATGGATGGACGCGAGAGGCTGATGGTCCAAATGGGATGTGAGTGGCCCTTTCAGTGCGTGCGAATCCCTGATGACCAAGAACAGACTCGAGACCCTGACACTTGAAGGTACTAATTTAGATTTCTTGATGACCAGTTTACCCATCACTTTAACCCAAGAAACACTGTTAACAAACACGGTTAAGAGGCATCCCTAGGACAGAAAGAGAATAGCCCTTTGGAAGGTTTGTCTTAAGACAGATTTTAAATAATATGTAGGTCAGATGGCATAAAATCTTATCCAGCACTGTGTGGTTCTGTTGGTACCTGCTCTGCCACGAGACTGGCTATTTCTTCGTAAGTCTTTCCTGCTTCTGTGATGGCATCGTTGAGGTCTGTTTCACCTGAAAGGCATTACAGTTCTATCAGTGGGGGGCAGGTTTTATGTTTTTTCATTCACACACACATTATAGAAAATTTCAAACTTTTGAACACTAGAGATATAATATGAACACCATTTACCCATCACCTCAGTTCCCAAATGAACAGCTCCCAGACAACTGCCTACTCTTCACTGCCCGCTTCACTGGTCACATGACATAAATGTAACCGAACATCAGGACTCCGTAAGATAAGGACAATCCCAATATCCAAACAAAGACAAGATAGCGCTCTGACACAGCTCATCCTGGCAGGGTGCGCGGCGTCCCAGCGTCTCCCCTCCATTTGGCTGCGGGTCAGGAGGCAGGACAGCCCAGTGGCACTGTGCCAACTGACTCCTGGCCTGCAGGGAGGTGCTGTCCCCCCTCATTCCCTGCTTCACTTGCACATTTCTTTTTGGGGTTGTCAAACAAACCAGGTCTTTTTTCTTGGTGCCCTGTGTGTGGCGTGGCTGACTGCATCTCTGCAGGTGGCAACGCAGCCCTCCGCCTTCTCTGCACATGGGTTGTTGTGACTACAGGCTTGATCTTTTTTTTTTTTTTTTTAAAGATTTATTTATTTATTTATGTATACAAGCACTGGGTACAGTCAGAAGCCCAGGAGGGTGAGAGGATTCACCAGAGCCAGAGTGGGGAGCAGAGCAGGCAGAAGGACCGAAGTACACTGCTGAGGGGAGCAGCGGGCGGCAGGAGAGGTCTGTGCGCCATGTGGGCCCCTCCTCCGGTGGCCGGGGAGCAGCCGGGGATCGAACCAGTGCTGCAGAGGCTGTGGGCAGCTTTGCAACCCAGCGCTCAACCGCTGCGCCACCGGGGAGGCCCTACAGGCTTGATCTTACCCACAGGACACAAGTTCCAGTTGCTTCTATTTTGCATGCTCATCATCGACATCCTTTATTTTACTGTGGGTTTGCCAAGAGGGGCTATTCTATTCTGCTTCTATCTTTCCTTTTTTAGCTGAAGTATTTCTATAAAGAAAAATGCTCCTTTATCAACTTTTTAGTTACCTTGTATTACAGCTGGAATAGGAGAAGCAAATTAAAAACTTGACCTTTTTCTCTTTTTTTTTTTTAAAGATTGATTGATTGATACATACAAGCACTGGGTATAGTCAGCACGGGCGGCAGGAGAGGTCTGCGCGCCTTGTGGGACCCTCCTCTGGTGGCCGGGGAGCAGCCGGGGATCGAACCGGCACTGCAGAGGCTGCGGGCAGCTTCGCAATCCAGCGCTCAACCGCTGCACCACTGGGGAGGCCCCCTTTTTCTCTTTATAGTTTTCACAATAATGAGTTGATCCCCTACCATGTTCCAAAGGTAAATGAGTTCAGCTTTTTAAAAAAAGTATCATTTGTAAGCCTAGATTTAAACATCGTTCTACAGCAACTATTATTACCACAGATGCTGAAATCTTCTCTTCATTGGCCAGTAGAAGGCTCTTCAAATTGTTCTTTTGTTATGCAAGATCTGGTTCACTTTGGTGGAACAAGCTGTGTAGAAATCACCATGTATGTGGGTGATGTTAATGAATTGGATAATTGGCGCTAGGCCTCTTCAATGAACAGAGCAAGGCTAACTGTTATTTTCAGAAAAGGAAGATACACGATGAGCTCATATTAACATTTCCAATTCAAATTTAGGACTAGAGGGTTATTCTGAATATATTTTAAAACTGCTTTTTATGGTTATCTCTTTTATTTAAAAAATCTTAGTCATTAACAATGGTAACTAACATATTACATATTTGCTTATTAATATCAATTCTACTATTATATTGCTAATTATATGTTTTCTGAAAACATTTTCTGCAGTCTTTTTGACCTTAAGGTATCTGCTGCTAGGGGCTTAGTCAAAATACATTTTTTTACACTAAAATAAATTTCTCTTTATGTGATTATGTCTTCATATTAAGTATCAAGTTGTGGGTGTTTTTTTTGCTTTTCAGGGATTAAAAAAAATCTGATTTAGATTTGTGTTCTAGTAATTATCTCAAACACTAACAAGACATAATCAGAAGTCTTACTTCCCCATAGACAAGCAATTACAAATGTTTAGTGACTGCATTATTTCCATTGTAACCCGGCTATGAAAAGCTTGGTTAACTGGTCCTGGGGCCGTCCCCACCATATGCATGATCTGGGAACGCAGCTGCCGCCCAGCCTCAGACGCCAGCACACCTGGCAGGAAACTGACACAGCTCTCACTGCGGACCTTCACTTCCTTGAAGGTGGCTGCTGGGGACTAAGTGGTCTTTAAATCAAGATTTTTAATTATTTATTATTATTATTTTTTAAAGATTTATTCATTCATTTACACAAGAACCAGGGTACAGGCCAGATGTGCAGGAGGGTGAGAAGATTCACCAGAGACAGAGTGGGGAACAGAACAGGCTGACTGATGAAATACCCTGCCTGAGGGGAGCAGCGGGCGAGATAGGAGAGGTCTGCCACGCCATGTGGGACCTTTGCCGGCCGGCTGGGATCGAACTGTGCTGCAGAGGCTGTGGATAGCTTCACAGTGTGGCGCTCAACCACCTGCGCCACCAGGGGAGGCCCCAAGTTTCATTCTTGAGCTAGTTTCATTCTTTCTGGTGTGGCTGTCCAGTTTTCCGAGCACCATTTGTTGAAGTGGCTTTCCTTTCTCCATTGTATACTCTGGATTCCTTTGTCACAAATTAGTTGCCCATGTATGTATGGTTATATTTCTGGGATTTTGATTCTATTTGGACTTTTTCATTCCTACAGTGCTTTAGTGACGTAAGGAAAATTGTGACTCTTTAGTATTTTTGATATTTTCTTATGATGAGAGCAGCAGTCTCTTGTAGTCACCCACCTTGATCTGTGTGTCTATTTTTATTCCAATATCATAGTGCTTTGATTACTATAGCTTAGTAATCAAGTTTGAAGTCAGGAGGCATGGCACTTCTGTTTTTGTTCTGTTTTGGACTGTTTTGGCTATTCAAAGTCTTTTGTGGAAAACCTGATCATTTCGAAAGTATATTTTTTTTTACTATATTTTAAAAAGAATGAGTAATATAACAAAGGAGAAGATTTATTTACAGTATCAAGTCATAAAGGAACTTCTTTAGGAACCATTATCCAGACTGCCAACTGTCTTTGTTCCCAAGCTTTGGAGGTCAATTACCTGCACCCTCTATTAATATCATGTTTAGTGACAGCAAGTGACACCCCTAGCTCTTCTACCACCAACCAGAACAAGTGAACTGTAACTTTAAAATTCCATGCTCTAGGTCTGCATAGATTCTAATTCATATGTGGCTTCAAGTGATGAGAGACCATGAATCTGGGTACGTCCATTATAATCTAGAAACAAACTGAAATTACGGGAAGGATAATTGCTGGGCTTAAAAATGTCATCTTGGAGGAGTTCTACTTCCAGTTAGGATGTGGGTGACTGCAAGAGACTGCTGCTCTCATCATAATAAGAAAATATCAAATAAACTAAAGAGTCACACTTTTCCTTAAGTCACTGAAACACTGTAGCAATGAAAAAGTCCAAATAGACTAAATTCAGAAAGGGGAGGCTCTTTACCCAAGGCAAACTGCTGATCCGGGGGCATGGAGGAGTGGCAGAGGCTCTGCTGGGACAAGGAAGCACCTGACTGGGCTTTTCCAGGGTGCACGTGGCTGGCATGAGGGAGCAGGACCTGGCAGAGCCCCAAATGCAGAGCTGGTTCTCCCCAAAGATGTCCTGGGCTAAGAAGGAGGGCAGAGCTGAGAAACAGGCAGCACTCTCTTAGGAAAGGCTTAAAGGAGGAGGGGATTCAGGTGAGTTTTGACTGTGAGGATGTCATCATGACCAAGCAGATGTTTTTCCAGCATCTCCCAAACAAACGCTACTGTTCTATTCAGACACTTTGGAACCACAAAGCTGGAAGGACGCCCCGAGCTGACCCAGACCTAGGCGACAGGCACGCTCCAGTCCGGGTACGCCCACCAGCCACCCGTGGGCCCTGGCAAAGGCACTTGCTAATTTCTTATTCCTGAAAGTAGATGCTCACATCCAAAGACCTACCTTTCTTGGCCATCAGGGTAAACACCATGTGAAAGCACCAATTCTATCATGTCTTAAGTGACAGGACATAAACTTAATAGATGCCACTTGCCTGGCAAATACTTTTACTTCCCACCTGCTTCATACACCAAATTAAGCAAATATAAAGTAACATGTAAAGGAAAACAGCTAACTTGTCCTCACCACTGCTGTCAGCGTAAACACACGAGCTAGATAAAACACAAGTAGAGGGCCTCCCCTGGTGGCGCAGCGGCTGAGCGCTGGGCTGCAAAGCTGCCCACAGCCTTTGCAGCACCGGTTCGACCCCCAGCCACCGGCGAGGGTCCCACATGGCGCGCAGACCTCTCCTGCCGCCTGCTGCTCCCCTCAGCAGTGTATTTCATCAGCCTGCTCTGTTCCCCGCTCTGGCTCTGGTGAATTCTCTCACCCTCCCTGCTTCTGACTGTACCCAGTGCTTGTATAAATAAATAAATAAATCTTAAAAAAAAAAAAAAAAAAAAAAAAAAACAAACCACAAGTAGAAATACAATGTGGGTTGAGCTGAAAAGAATTACAAGTTATGCTGAATGGTTCCCCTCCTAGGGAAATAGGGAGAACCAAAATGAAGAACAGACAAAACTGAACCAAAACAAACCCTAGAAATCAGACTGCAAACTGAGGCCACCGGAGGGGATGGCGGGTGTGACCCGAGGACAGAGGAGGAAGGGGCCCGGGGCCTGCGGTGGAGGCTACGGGTGCCTTGGGGGGAGTGGTGTTCACCCACATCTGAGGAGGTGTGAACCCATCCCCCTAAATCATACACAGTGTTGTGAGCCAATGTTTCTGCAACAAAAAAAGCAGGACCAAGACAATAAATAAATTTGTGACTTAGTCAAATAGTTTTTCCTGCATATGACCTTGATGAAATCTGTCCTTGGTAACAGGAAGGCTTGACTCAAGTTTGGCAGAGAGATGAAAGCAAGGGCAGAGTGTTACCTATCAAAACAGCTGCCTGCTTTGTTGAAACACAAGAGTTGTGCGTGGGCACCAAGAGCACTAACGAGAAAGCCTGCGCCCTAACCACCCTCCGGTTTTCTCGTTGTGAGGGCCCTGAGGGGAGCGGCTCAGCCAATCCAGCCCAAGACCAGGGTGCTTGGCTGCAGCCACAGGGTCTGCAGGAGCCTGAGGAGGGCGCGAGCCTGTGCCCGACACCGGAGGCCCGAGGACAACCCCCATCACCTACCTTGATACCCACTGGAGCTGAACACGGTCGCCAGGCTCTGCAAGGCCTTTCCGATCTTCTGATACTCCTTGGGCAATGCTGGAGAGAAAAGGAAGATGCTGTGACCAGTCCTTGAGCCAACGCGACGGGGTTCACCAGGTTTCTAAAGTGGTCAGTTTTATAATGAGAGAGGGTTTGAATGGATTCGAAATAGTCTATATCTTTTAATGAAATGATTAGTTTTTAAAAATTAATATTTTAACAGAATTTTTTCCATTTTTAGTTAGTTGATCTCTCATGGTGAACGCTATGATTGAGCGTCACTGCTATTCCCCACTCACCACTGAGAAGATGCCACCATGTAGTTCAGCCAATGCGAGCCCCCTCCACACACGGCCCTGGACCCCCACACGCCCCTGAACCCCACATGCCCCTGACCCCCACACAGCCCTGTCAAGGGGCAGGTGCGCCAGCTCCATTTTGTGGGTCAGGAAAATAAATGACTTGCTCTGGGAGGGTCACCTGGTTAAAAACCGGTGGTTCAGACCCTTCTGATCCCAGGGATGCTGCTCCCCCCACTCTATTACATATGTACGAATGACTATGTACAAAATCATGTAGCTCAAAATAAACTGAAAGAGAAAACATGGCAGTAGATTTCACAGGGCCAAGGAGGAGGGATTCTGGTATGCCCATCTGTATATTAAGGTCAACTAAGTGATCTTTAAGGGCTACCCTAGTGGTATTGTGGCCTCTGGGCCCAGGGGATAGGCCCCATGTGATAACCTGAGTCTCACAGCTGGACCCTGGACTGTGTTTCTATCCTGGGCTGGTGACAACAGAGCTGCAGGGTCCTGGGAGCACAGGGGATGCGGATCAGCAGGACGACAGCATCCAGAGGGACGGAGGAAGGACACGTGGTGCTGGGACGTGGGGCCTGGGGCAGAAGGTGACAGGAAACTCCGCTGCCCCCAACAGGGCACCTGGTGTTACCTGTCTTACAAGTTGTCTATCACAACTATACCGGCTTCCCTAAAAATCAGGATTTTGGTCAATGTACAGCCTACCAAATGGATAGAAACTAAAAAGCAGAATCACGGGATGACACATGACCGTACACACTCCAACATGCAGAGAAGACCAGTTTCCCGTAGGCCACAAACCCCACGTCTCTAAGCGCGTGGCCATGGTGCTCTGAGTTCGTGGCCAGTCTTGTTGGAGCCAGTTTCCCGGCGCTTCACAGGTTGAGAATGGGGCTCATCAAAGGGGTCTGACCTTAGTTCTGCTCAGTGGGGTGCACCCCCTTCCAGCCCTGCCCCAGGGCCCGCAGGATGGCGCTTACGGCCCGTGCAGCGCTTCCAGTGCTCCTGCCCAACTGTCAGCAGCTCCTTCACTCCGTCGTCCATGGCCCTGGTGAACTTCCCCACGGCGTCACACTTCTGCTCTCTGTGGGCCAAGCACAAGAAGCCAAGTCCTCGACTCTGCCACCCAATGGCCAGTGTCAGGTGAAGAGGGGGAAGGTCACCCCAGAAACATCACGGGCCCCTGGTCTCTACCTAAACCGGTCTCTAAAACAGGCTTGATTCAGGCTTTTAAAGAATGACTTAAAAATCTGCTGTTTATATTTTAACTCTGCTTCCCTTCCCTTGTGAATTTTAACTAAAAATTATTCTAAAGTAAGTCAAGTCATCATTTCTTGAATTATCTTTGGAGAAATTAAATTGTGAGCGCTACCATGGACTCTACAAAGCAGCAACAGGACGTGATGGGGGCGGCTCACACGCTCCTTGCTTCTAGAAGCACCTTCAGGGCTGAGAGAGGGCCCTGGGCCCACGCCCCAGGGACAGGGAGCAGGCCAGACCCCGTGGGCTGAGGAGCACTGCTGACCGGCAGAAACCCCCACAATATTCTGTTCAAACTCAAAATCAGATTATAATACAAAACGCATAGAGTGAGGTCATTTATGTTTAAACAAACAATTTTTCTTTTGAGATGTATGCACAGAGGAGGGCTTGGGAGACTGTAAGATGAGGCAAATATTAACACTGATTTTCTCTCTGGGTAGCTGGAAAACAGTGGGGCTTTTCTCTTATCTGCATTTTTGAAAACGTGGAATCAATTATTTTAGGTTATGAAAAAGCTTTCTTAAAAACATTCTTAGTCCTTATATAGAAAAGGAATGACTCCAAGTTTCCAGCCAAGTCTACATTAAAAAATATAAAAATAACAAGACAAGAAAGGTCAACAAACAGGTTAGGAGGGTTTCCTTCAAGGCGACGGGGTTCCAAGCAACTTCTGCCTGGTGGGACAAAATGTGGTATTAACTGGAAGGACGCGACATGGTATTTATTAGCAGGCTCTGTGCCACTCTATTTTATCACACTTTTGGGGAGATGGTTCCTAACCACTGTGTCACGTATAATATCACCGACTTTAAGGAATCACGCTTAACCTGGCAATTTGGTAGAAAGATGCTGTCGTCTGACTAAAATCCCTGCTCTCTCAGGAGACTCGGGTCTCTGTCAGACTCTGAAGTCACACTGGCGAGCCTGGCAGCGAGGGAGCTGCCACGCGTGAGGAGGAAAGCCCGGCAGTAGCTCTTACATTTCTATTAAGTCCAAGTCAGGTGCCTCTGGTTCCATGGTAGAAAACACCATCACGCCCACCAGCTCATCCTTCTCAGCCTTTCTCTTGCCAGTTTTCCATTCCTGTGAATGGGAACATTATCACCTCTGAGCAGAGTCAAAAGGTTCCCCTACATTCCCCCAAACCTGGAACATCATTCTTGTTCTCATTTCCAGGAAGGTCCCTCCCCCAGGTCTCTGGATATCAAATGCAGCCTCAGTCCGTGAACTCTGCCCACGGATGCTCCGGAGCGAGGTGCTCACACTTCCCTTCCAATGCCGACCAACACAGACACATGTATGAAATTTGACAAAATGCCTCAAATTTTTAGGCTGTTTTCTGAAAAAAGGTGGAGACTTTTATGAACTATAACAGAGGAACTAAAATTATGAGCTACTAAAATAACTGTATTGCATACAACACACACAATGCACGTAACAATGAAAGGGATGCACATAACAGACGCACGAACAGAAGCGCATCTGAGTGCGCACAGCAAACACATCCTCACAGGCTCCCCCACCCCCACCCCGAGAAAGGGGAGAGTTAAGCATTCCCAGCATCCTCCCCCACCACCGCATCCTTCCCACAGACTCCTCCAATTATCACCATTTTGCCAATCTTGTTTTATCTACTTTCCTCCACCCTGTTGTTGTCTCTTGCTTATCTTAATGGAAATCTCAGGTTTATCACTTCACCTGAAAATACTTCACTGTATGTCTTTTAACAGATAAGGTGATTTTTAAAAACATAACCCAATAGCAGAGTAAGAACAGACGTGAGGGGGTAGCACAGCTCATTCCCCCAGCAGTGCCACCCAGGCGACCCGGCACGGGTTAAGACCTTCCTTCCCCACCACGCTCGGCGCCGTCTCTATCAGAGGCCGAGTGCCCGGTCTGCTCGCCCCCCTTCACCAGCACGGGCCTCTAAACTTCAGCTCAGAATGAGGCTTGGCTTCCCATAGAGTCCTCCTCCCACTTTATTCTTTTTTCAAGAGTCAACTGGCCCTTCTTACACTTTGATGTTCTACATGTGACACGTATCGGTAGTATAGGAAAATTTATTTTGGGCTTTGATTTCTCTCAACAATGTTTCATATACTTTTACATGTACCTTTTTGTACGTTCTCTTGAATTTATTCCTAGAAATTTGATATTTTTCGCTATTGCAAATGACTGTTTAGCCTTTCATTTGGTGAGGACACTGTGACCCAAAGAAATTAAGACACTTTGGCCGAGGGGCCTCCCTGGTGGTGCAAGGTATTAAGTTGCAGCACTATACAGCTGTCCACAGCTACTGCAGCATGAGTTTGATCCCCAGGCAAGGAGGTGACCCACGTTGTGCAGCAGACCTCTCCTGTCTCGTCCACTGCTCCCCTCAGCAGTGTATTTCAGTCAATCCGCCTATTCTGTTCCCCAATCTGTCTCTGGTGAATCCTCTCACACACCCCCTCCCCCACACCTCTAGCCTGTACTCCAGCTCTTGTATGCATAAATAAATCTTTGAAAAAAAAAAACACAACACTTTGGCCAAGATCAGAGATAGAAACAGAGCTGAGGCCAGAACTCCAGTACCTGGCGCTGAATACTTTCTTCTCTTATATCAAAACACCAATTCTAGATTTACTATTTTTAATAACATTTTCATAGTACACAACACTTAAGAGTGTGTTGTAAATCAAGTTTATGGTGGAATAATCAAGAAAGCCCTTATAAAAGTCCTGTTGTAACCAGTAAGGCAAAAGTCTTGGAGAGGGTCCCAGGAGGCTTTTCTAAAAGCAAAGTCACAAGATTTATTTTCAGCAATCTCGCGTTGAACCTAGTGTCACAACACTGTGCCTGGATGTCACCTCTCACCAGAAAAACGATCTAGTTTTCTAGTGCATCCTGCAAGGCCACAATACATACATTCACAGGGAGAGACCCCAGTTCCCCAGTATCACTAATACCCACAGCACATCCACGTGAGCCTGCCACTTCTGGAATTAAGCAGACACTGAAAATAAGGCCCAGATGCTTGTATTCTACGAATACCCACAGAAGCTCTAACATTTAAGACTTCCTGTTATAAATATGTCTACTTTAATGAGGGAAAACTATTGCAAAGGATTTTAGTAAGTCAATCTCTACTTGAAAGTTCCAACTAGACTATAATATTCTATTATATGATTAAATATAAAAATATTTTCATGACATTTTTCTAGCATCATAACTTACTTCACATCTGCTGTTGGCATCTGAGCTAACCTGCATTTTTATTCTTTAGATTATTTTCTAGAATATGCAATACTTGTTATGAGAGAAGTGACGGAGAAAACATGTCTAGGGAATAAAAAGATACAATGAAGAGTCATTGAAAAGTTTATTGAGAGAGAGAACTATTTCCAACAAAGACAGTGAGATGTCAAGTAGCCCTTTTTTTCTTGATTTTCAAAAACAGAACAGACGAACATCAGAAAGATGAACCGTGGGGATGGGTACAGAGGCCCGCATTCTTTAGACTCACAGTTCTGGGAAAACAACTGGGTTTTGAGAAGGATGGTACAATTCCAACTGTACTTCTCCTTCTATGACAGTATCACGCTGTCAGCTCAAATGTGAGGGCGGGAGAACATTTGCTCTGTTGCCCATTTCACATTGATAATCTCCTGTGGAGTTTGGAGTCTGTCCTGCTTTTGAAAGCATCTAGGAAAAAATTCCTCATCTTATCATATTTCCCTGCTGACCTGGCCAGCCCACCCCTGGGCATCCATTCTGGAAAGCGGTTCTGTTATCCTCACGATCAGTTTGCCACGGTTGGGATTTAAGGTCCCACCCCTTTGCAGTCTTTGGAGGAAATGTGAAACCACCGACTAACCAACATAACGTAAGCTCCTTTCAGGTAAAAAATTGGTGTAAATGAAGCAATTCTCAATATCCTCTAAGACTATCATCATCAAATACTGTACCTTTTCATCTCGGAAATTTAGAAATTGCTGGAAAACCTCGCTTTCTGAGATCACTGGATGACGGCACATCCTGTTCATCCAAGCCTGCAGTCTCTCCATGCGCATTTTGATAAACTCTTCTTCAAAGCGACCTGCAGGAGACATGCCCATTTGAGTACAGCCGTGTCAGAGTGAACTGCTGGCACCATTATGCATCATGATCCAGGGAGAGAGACAATAGCATTGGAACTCTAATTTAACAAATTAACAAACCTTGTGACCGTGACCAGAATATTCATAATCTCAAAAGGGTTCTTCAAGGGTCCTTTAAAACACTCGACAAATTTAAAAGTAAATCTTCTCTCAATATGAAAAACTTTCTTATAAAATAACATTAACATTAAACCAATTCCTGTGTGACCATATGAAGTCCTATAAGCTAGAAAGAATAAAATGAAATCTAAAAAGTAACTCTCATAAAGTGCATGGAATTTTGTTATTTATGTGTCTAAATGTAATAGAATCTCAAATATATAAATTTTAAATTTAGTGTTTATGAAAGGCAATTCAGGACTGTACTTTTTCTGTCCTTTTTTTTTTTTTTTTTTTTTTGTGGGACCCTCGCCTTTGGCTGGGGAATGAACCGGCGCTGCAGAGGCCACGGGCAGCCTCGCAGCCCAGCGCTCAACCGCTGCGCCACCAGGGGACGCCCTCCATTTTGTTTTTTAAGCTAAATCTGAAAACAGAAAAAACAGCTTTTTCATGAATACAATGATGAAAGCTGCTGAACTTACAATCATCCTGAAACCGAGCTTAATGAGTGGTATTTCCAGTTACAAAGTAGAAAATCAAATAAGCCTGACATACCAAACATCATGTGAATACTGAGAATTTTTTCAGCCCAATCAAACAACAATCACCATCAGTTCAAAGGTCGTCAAAGATGGCAGTTCTGGCTATAGCCAACGGAGATGATCACTAAAGTAACAAACTCTGGACTTCAGGAAAGAGCAGTGGCGATCTTTGCTGTCCTGCTCTAGGGGCTGCTCCCTTCTCCCTTCCGCAGCCCCTGTGTCTCCCCTCCCTCTACTTGCCCAACACGGAAGCTGCAGCTTCCGTGGCGAGGTAGTCAGCTCCCTGCTCTGAAGAGAGGGGGGAAGCCCCCTCATTGTGATGACAGTGACAACCCAGGGGTGAGAGGATGGGGAGCTCACAGGCTCCATCAGCCAATACAGGTGGAGCCAGAGACCTGCCCGCTGAGACTGTGTGCAGAAACACTGGGGGTAGGGGACTGTGCGTAGGGTCCAAGTCAGCCACATGCTCCTAGCCAACTCAGGCTGCAAACACACATTCAAGGGGAACACAAAAGGGGACCCCTGAAAGAAAAAGCCAAGGATAAGCTGAAAATGACATGAGCTTGGAATACACGCCCTATCCATGCACTGAACCACTGTAGAGGACAAAGCTTTCATGGTTTGAGGTGGGAGAGCACATCCTCTAACTCAGACAAGGGGTGGGCTTAAGGAAGCCAAACTTAAAAACAGACAGACAGACATAACTGAGCTCAGGGGAGACAGACTTCTGTGATTTAGGCAGGCAGCTTGTTTAACAGACAAGAAACAGAAAAATCAGACTCCAGAGATGCTAAAACATTTTCTCTAAAATGTCTAAATTTCAACAAAAAATGAAGAAATGGCCAATACTGAGGGGAGAAAAAAGCAGTCAACAGGCACTATCTGTAAGTATCCACAGATGTTGCACTTAGCAGACAAAAACAAAGCAGCTTTTATTTATAAAGATTTGTTTGTTTATGCATGTAAGAACTGGGGTACAGGCCAGAGGTGTGGTGGGTGAGAGGATTCACCAGAAACAGAGTGGGGAGCAGAACAGGCAGACTGACTGAAATACACTGCTGAGGGGAGCAGTGGGCAAGACAGGAGAGGTCTGCTGTGCCAGCCGGGGATTGAACTCATGCTGCAGTGGCTGCGGATAGCTTCATAGGTTGCGTCTTAACCCCTTGTGCCACCAGGGAGGCCCCATAGCAGTTTTTAGAAACATGTTCCAAGAACTAAAGCAAGCCATGTTTAAAAAAATTAAAAATAAGGGGCCTCCCTGGTGGCGCAAGGGGTTAAGCACCGTACTATGAAGGAATCCGCAGCCTCTGCAGCACGAGTTTGATTTGATCCTTGGCTGGTCAGGGAGCAACCCACATGGTGAGGGAGACCTCTCCTGTCTCGCCTGCTGCTCCCCTCAGCAGTGTATTTTGGTTCGTCTGCCTGTTCTGTTCCCCACTGTCTCTGGTGAATCCTCTCACCTCCTGCATCTCTGGTCTGTTCCCCAGCTCTTGTATGCATAAATAAATGAATCTTTAAAAAAAAAATTAAAAATAAGACAAGGCATTAACAAATACAGATTCTCAAGAAGGAGACAGAAGTTACTTATTTTGCATATAAGAACTGGGGTGTAGGCCAGAGATGGTGGGCAGGTGAGAGGATCCACCAACGACACAGCTATCAGGCCATAGCTGTGATAGTGCTGAGACTTAACCCCTAAGCCATCAAGGAGACAGAAGTTAGATATTAAAAAATCAAATGGGAGCCTCCTTGTGGTGCAAGGGTTAAGTCTCAGCACTACGAAGCTATTGGTAGCCACTGCAGCATGAGTTCGATCCCCGGCCAGGGAGCTAACCCACATTGCTTAGCAGACCTCTCCTGTCTTGCCCATTGCTTCCCTCAGCAGATCTTCTATTTCAGTAGATCTTCCTATTCTGTGGGGGAGGGAAAGGGTGAATCGTCTCACCCAGTGCACCTCTGGCACATAGCCCAGGTCTTTTTTTTTTTTTTAAAGAAGTATTTATTTATACATACAAGAACTGGGATACAGGTCAGAGGTGTGTGTTTGTGGGGTGGGGGGTGAGAGGATTCACCGGAGACAGAGTGGGGAACAGAACAGGTGGATCCACTGAAATACAGTGCTGAGGGGAGCAGTGGGCGAGACATGCTGCACCATGTGGGTCACCTCCCTGGTTGGGGATTGAACTCGTGCTGCAGTAGCTGTGGATTGCTTCACAGTGCTGACACGTAACCCCCTGTGCTACCAGGGAGGCCCTAAACCCCAGTTCTTGTATGCGTAAATAAATAAAAATGAATCTTTTTTTTTAAAGATTTATTTTATTTATTTATACAAGCACTGGGTATAGTCAGAAGGGCAGGAGGGTGAGAGAATTCACCAGAACCAGAGCGGGCAGCAGAACAGGCAGACAGATGGAGGACACTGCTGAGTGGAGCAGCGGGCGCAGCAGGAGAGGTCTGCACACCATGTGGGACCCTCACCTGGCGGCCAGGGATTGAACCAGCGCTGCAGAGGCTGCAGGCAGCTTTCACAGTCCAGTGCGCAACCGCTGCGCCACCGGGGAGGTCCTAAAATGAATCTTATAAAAATAAATGGAAATTCTGGGGTTGAAAATCCAGTAATTGAAATTAAAAATTCACAGTAAGGGTCAATAGCAGATTCAAGATGGCTGAAGAAATAGTAAGTAAATCTGAAGCTACAGCAATAGAAATGATCTAATCTGGAGAACGGGAGTGAAGGGGGGTGAGGATGAGCAGAGCCTCAGAAAACACGAAGTATGCCGGATTTGTAATGGGAGTTCCCAAACACAAAGAGAGAGAGAAAAAATATTTGAGGAAATAATGGGAGAAAATGTTCCAAATTTAATGGAAAATTTTAATATATACTTCCAAGAAGCTCAATAAATCCCAAGTAGGATAAATACAGAGATACCCACACCAAGATACAACAGAACCAAACTGCAGAAAGAAGAAAAACAAAATGAAAATCTTGAATACGGCCGAGTGAGAACAGCTCATCATCTACAGCGGGGTGTGTACAATACATGTGTGTGACCACAGAATAGACTGATTTGTCATCTGATGCAATAGAGTTCAGAAGGCAATGGAAAAACTATTAGTCAGGCTGCAAGAAAAGCTATCGGTCATGAATTCTACCACCAGTAAGCTTATCCTTCAAAAATAAAGGCACTCCCAGACAAATACATGAGAGAATTCATTGACAGTAGACATGCATTACAAGAAATATCAAAGGAAGTCCTTCAGGATAAAAAGAAATTACCCCTTGGGGCCTTCCTAGTGGCACAGGAGCTGACCCACATGGTGCAGCAGATCTCTCCTGTCTCGTCTGCTCCTCCCCTCAGCACTGTATTTTAGTGGGTCCACCTGTTCTTTTCCCCACTCTGTCTCTGGTGAATCCTCTCACCCCCTGCACCTCTGGCCTGTACACCAGTTCTTGTATGCATAAATAAGTAAATTTTTAAAAAAATTATCCAAATTTGGGCCTCCCTGGTGGCGCAAGGGATTAAGCACTGCACTATGAAGCAATCCGCAGCCTCTGCAGCATGAGTTCGATCGCCAGCCTGCCAGGGAGCAACCCGCATGGCGCAGCAGACCTCTCCTGTCTCGCCCGCTGCTCCTCTCAGCAGTTTACTTCGGTCAATCTGCCTGTTCTATTCCCCATTGTCTCTGGTGAATCCTCTCACCCCCCCGCATCTCTGGCCTGTACCCTAGATCTTGTATGCATAAATAAATCTAAAAAAAAATTATCCAAATTACAGGGAGATATGAAGAACATCAGACATACTTGGGCTACTATGCTCCTGGAACTTCTAAGTTTAGTGAAGTTACAAGGTAAAAACACAAAAATCAATTTTATCTCTAGATGCAACAAACAACTGGAAAACAGAAATTAAACAAATTACATCATCTACAACAGAACACCCCAATAAAATTCTGACAACAGATGTACAGATCTGTTAAGAGAAAGACAGGCCACACTTGGGACAAATGATGGGCAAATCACATTACTGAACAGAGTACTTATTTCCAGAACATATAAAGAATTCTCAAAATTCAATTAAAAAAATCTAATACAAAATGGTCAGAAAATATGTAGATAAAAATTAGCAAATGAAAATATGCTTGATGCCACGGGTTATTAGGGAAATGCAAATTAAAACCAAGACAATACTAAACACCTTTGAGACTTGTTGGAATAAAGAAAACTGACACATCAACAGTATAAGTAAGGATGGGCAGTCCCTGACACTCATCTACGGCTGGTGGGGACTCCAAAGTGGTCCAGCCTCTGTGGATAAGTCTGACAATTTCTTAAACATCAAATGAATGTTTATACACCCACCATATGACCCAGTCACTCCACTCCTAGGTGTCAACCCATAAAAATTTTGTTCATACAAAAATGCACATGTCAAAGTTTATAGGATCTTTCTTTTTAATTTTTCAAAACTGGAAACCTGACTGTCCTGCAACTACTGAAAGCACAAGCACACATGGTATACTCTAATCACTGAAAGCCTCAGCAGTAAAAGGAAGGACGTGTGAAACCACAGGTGCAGGACTCTAAAAACGCATCATGCTAAGAAGCCAGACTTGAAAGACCACGCACTATAACTTTCATTTACAGTGATATCCTGGAAGGCAAAAGTATAGAGAAAAAGATCATAGCTGCCCTGGGTCACAATGGGGGCAGGTTGCTGATTGTAAAGTGTCAGCACAGGGAGTTCTGGGAGGTGATGGAGCTTCTGTATCCTGAACTCAGCGGGGGTGACAAGACGCTGCAGAGGAAGCTGTCAAACTCTTAGCACTGTTCACTTAAGGAGCAGATTTACTGTATGTAAGTTTCAAAATAAATTTAAAAGAAACCGACTGAAATTTCCTTTAGAAATGGTGAGTACAAATAAGCACACATTTCTTTTAATAAGAGTATCACATGCCAAAAGGCACACCTGTGACACGGTACTGGTCAGCATGCTGGGTCACACAAGGCTGTGTGGGAACGCACTTTCCTCTGCACGTGTAGAGGCAGAGACTAAGTACTAAATAAGCGCTGGCTATGCACAGTTTGTCCCCTGGGAAGAAGATGACCTACCTGCTGCACAGAAAAGACCCAATGAGTCAGCATGGGCTGAGGTTATACTTGTCCCCATGATGAACAAGCGAATTGTGCCAAAAGTTATAACCTACAATTTAATACAAATTAATGATTTTAGTCCTGAAATTTTCTGAAACAGGAGATTTCCAGACTGACTTCAGATTTTGGATTTTTGCAAGGCTCCAGAGAGTTTGGAAAGTGGGGGGAGGTGGGGTTTTCATTTCCCTGTTTTCAGTGAACCTCACTTAGGTTCTTACCAATTCCTGGTTTTCACCCAGGAATAAAACTAGAGTCATTCAAAATTATTGCATAAAGAACAAAATCTATGAATAAACAACACTGACTGTAAGATTTTCATGGATTGATTATCAAGTCCACAGTCATGTCATGACATCACCTACTTGGGATTCTGTGCTGCCAGCTCCAGGATTCAAGTGGGCGTTTATATAATAATCATCTGTGGCACCAGAGCAGGAGGCCAACAAGAGCGGGGGATAAAGTGGCCTCTGTGCTGGGTGGCTTCCTCGGCACATGTCCCAGTCAGTGAATCAAAGCTCGACTTTCTTTAGACTGAGGGGCTGCTGCTTTCTTGCTTTTCTGTGACATTGCCCTAGCTTTAGGCTCAACTTAAAAAAAAAAAAAGGCCAACAACGTTCTACAGGAGAAGTGCGGCTCTATGATGCTTTAAAAGCCCTGAGTTATTTGGTTCAGAATGAACAAGGTATTAAAACCTGAGAGATGTGAGAAACCCCATAACCTAGGGAAGGCTAGTCCTGAGTACAAAATCCAGGCAAGTGTGTGAACACCATGGTACATGTGCTGTGCCAGCCAAGTCGCTAAAGAAACCCAAAATTCAGGAAACAGACTGCAATTTGAAAATATGGAGAGTAGCGGCATACACGTTTTCATGGAAAGAAATCTACATTTTAAAAAGCAAGCTGTGGGCCTCCCTCGTGGCACAGGGGGTTAGGACGTAACCTATGAAGCTGTCCACAGCCTCTGCAGCATGAGTTCAATCCCTGGCCGGGAAGCAACCCACATGGCACAGCAGACCTCTCCTGTCTCACCCGCTGCTCCCCTCAGCAGTGTATTTCAGTAGATCCGCCTGTCCTGTTCCCTATTGTCTCTGGTAAATCCTCTCACCCCCGACACTTCTGGCCTGTACCCCAGTTGTTGTATGCATAAATAAATCTTAAAGAAAAAAAAAGCAAGCTGTGACTTAAAGCAGGGAGAATGACAGACGGGCGTGACTGCAGGAAGGCAGGAGGAGTGGTCGCCCTGCCTGCGATCGGCTCCACTCATGACCCACAACAGACGACGAAGCAGCCCCACTACTCTCCATTCTGCTATGATGACTTCAGGTTTTTGAAGCTTTCAAAATAAACATAGACTAAAAATATGAATTAAAGTGTTAAGGAGAATGATGTTCTTATTCTGAGGTTCCTAATTCCTGCTAGAGATCAGTCGGTCCACATCTCACACGTGACAGCGTCTCCTTCAGTGGCCAGAGCAGAGACCATGCATGTGAATCAAGTCTTGCTGAGTGAGAATTAAACCCTCCCTGATCCTCCCTGACCTTGGGGAAAACCTTTCCTCGGCCCGTTCCACCTTCCTTCTCTCCGTGCCCAGCTGAGCGGTTCCGTCTCTTCCCGCTCTCTTAGGGGCATTGCAGCTCTGACCTGTGACTTAAAGATGACCTGACTCTCACCTTTGATCCTTCCCTTTCTACACACACTAGCTTCAGTATCTGAAAATTTTTTAGCTATGCATATTGAACTCTTTCTACTTTTTAGTAAAGCTCAGCTTCTTTACAAAGTTTTATTCCAAGACAAACATATTGAGTCCTGAGTACTAATTTCAGGTTCTTGACTAGGTTGGAGATAAAAAAAATCAGGGACAGTTCTCCAGATAGAGAAACAAGTACCTGCCAAGTGTATTACAAAGTGCTATTACAGAAGCAGTGTGGATTATTTACAAGGTTACCAGGGGCAGGAGAGTGCAGGCACTTTAAATAAGAAAACAGAGAAGGTTTTTCGTATTTATTAGCCAGTGATACACGAAAAACTTTTAGCTAGCAATAGAACCAAAATAACTGAGTAGAAACCTCACACTTCCGCAGAACACTCAGAGAGCTGAGGCTCCCACGGCAGGCCAGCATTTAAACACTTCTCTGAAAACCACACAGCAAGACAACATGCCCATTGGCATCATTTGGGATGCACATCTTTATTGCCATTTTAGGCTATTTGGAGCAGTCCTATTTTCTCAGGCATTTATGCACATTTTAAAAAGTCACATTTCTTTTATAGGAGAGGGTGCAGTGATAAAATTATAATGGCTTCTCTAGAGTTCAAGATATGTATACAAGAACACTGATATAAAATTTTACGTAACGTTCTCGCAAGGTGCTAAGGTTAACTTCTGAATACATGCACAATATGGAGTTAGATCCAGCCATACATCCAGCCCTTGGAAGCAGGGAAGGTGCTACCACTGATAAACATCAGGACACACCACAATCAACGGGAGTCTCTTTACTCGTCATCTCAAGTCCAGCATCACACACTCACCTGTGACTTGCTTATCCGGAAGAGAAGGGATTGGAATGGCTGACCCAAACTTAACCAGGAGACGCTCATACAACCAGTCAAAGTGCTTATACCTGTGGTTTACGGATCGATTAGTGTTCTATGAATTAAGGGGAAAAAAAGAGAAAGTTATCAAGGCCAGTTACAGAAAAAGAAGAAAAATGCAAATTTTAACTCGTGATACAAGCATGCTTCTGTTTTTGGTAACTTGGATACTCACAGTGGGTGTTAACTGATACTCAATGTAGCTCTTCAGACCATACATTTTGGAGCCTTTCTTGGGATCTGCTACTAAACAATCAAACGTAGAGGCAGGATAAACCCACATTGGGCCATAATCTCCAATCTGCACAACATTCCAGGGAGAAAGAATTTTTGTTACATGGAGAAACAGTAAATAGAATTGATGTGAAGTAATCGAATGATTCTTTCCAGAAATAAAGAGAAGTGCTTTGCAAGGTCCCCCTTGCTCTTCTTGGACAAGTTATACATACACTCTGTTCTGCTGCAGTGACAGTCATAGAGCAAACGCTACCCGTGGGGCAGTGTGGCCTGTGAAGGGGAGGCCTGCTTGCTTGCTCCCTCTGGGGGAGTGCTACTTGCAACACAGTTCCTCTTTCTAGTCTGGTTGTCTTAATTATAATGAAGGGTTAGTTTTTAAAAAATTCCAACTATCATGGAGCTATAGTTTTGTGAAATACAAAATTACACTCTTAGATGTCTCAACAATGCCTCCCAACTTTGTAAACACCCTTCATTTTCTGTACACTTGGTCCTAATTATTTTTAAAGGTGGAAGGCAGGGAGGAGGAGCAGTCTATGAAAGTCTGGGGATCAGTAGGTCAGGAAGGTAACTGGAGCCCAGAGAATTTTAATGCTGAGGACTAGAAATGGAGCTACTGTGGCCTCCCAGGAAGGGAGCCCAGGTCCAGAACATGCTCTTAAAGCTGCAGAGGCAGTAATCTTTAGGAGGCGGCAGCTCTGGGGCGCTTCCTCCAGGGTCTGGAACCAAGAGAAGAAGCTGATTCATGGGACCTGACAGCCACAGGCCCACATCCCATCAGCGGGAAGGGTTACTGTGCCTTAGCAGCTAAGAACCAGATCTCTGCTTTCTCTTGGTTTTTTGAGGACTCAGCAACTTTCCTCAGTTTTCTCTTCCATGAAATAAGCCCATAGGGCACATGGGCCCAGCTTTATCTCAAACTTAAACTACAGGTTCCTTTAGCTCTGTGCCCCCCGCCACTCTCACACCTGAGACAAGATACCTCAGAGGATCCAAGGGGCAGGGTCACGGCTTTTGATTCTGTGGTGTTTTAAAATGAATGAAAAGAACAATGATATATATCTACTATTATTATTATTATTTTTTTAAGATTTATTTATTTATTTATACAAGTACTGGGTATAGTCAGAAGCGTGGGAGGGTGAGAGAATTCACCAGAGCCAGAGAGGAGAGCAGAACAGGCAGAGTGACGAAGTACACTGCTGAGGGGAGCAGCGGGTGGCAGGAGAGGTCTGCACACCATGTGGGACCCTCCTCCGGTGGCCGGGGAGCAGCCAGGATCGAACCGGCGCTGCAGAGGCTGCGGGCAGCTTCGCAACTCAGCGCTCAACCGCCACCGGGGAGGCCCTGTCCACTATTATTTTTAAGTCTGGAAAAAAAAATTATCTTTAACCACTTAATTTTCCCAAATTTGCTTTGAGGGAACAGGGGCAAAGAGGGATGTTGCTCTGTCTGGCAGTTTCTAGGATTTCAAGCTTTTCAAAGATGTAGGAAATGCAGGAATAAGTAATAAACATTCACTATCATTCCTGCAATTTTATCAAGTTCCCCAGGACCCAGGGATTAGATGTTTCCTTCTTGTCTGAGTCCAAGGTGACCACACTCAAGGCTTCTGCCCTCATCTGACAGTTTCAGGGTCATGTCAAGAGTCAGGAGATAGCCACAGTTCTCTCCTCTAGATTTTCATCTGGGAGCATACAGCTGGGTAGCACTTAGATAAGCCATCAATAATAAAAATTTGGGAGAAACCAAAGAGCCTGCATCATGTCAGATACTCTTGATGGAGTCATTAACTCCCAGCTTTATTTGCTGCTCCTTATCACGACCTGACACCTGGCTTAACTGGAAGACAGACCAATTACCACCAACACAGTGGAGAACTTGCGTTCTGACAGCGTGCATGTCCTCTGCCAGGGCAGAAACCTCAACATTCGAATTGGGTTTATTAGCTAAATATATGGGGCTGATAGAACACCAGCATATAAAAGGTACTTTATGACACTTTAGAGGAGAAATTTATTAAAAGAATATATAATATGGTTCAGTTACTAATAGTGAGGACGATAAAAATACAGAATACCTAGGTGATACAATGACAGGCAGTAATTTATGCTCTTCAGTTCTCTTAAAATACTAACACCCACTGTCAGTTATTTGGAGCATTAACTGTGTTTAAAAACACTTTCCAAATGACTGATAACCCTTTTAGTTTTAAGGTATTTTAAAAAAGCTTGATAAGGAACAAAGCAAACAAATTAAAATGACAAAACTTACCATGATGGGAATTCTCTCTTTGGGTTTTGCTAGCTGCTTGGCCAACAAATACTGCTCCGTTCCAGGTTTTGCGAATCCAGGGAACCTAATCATGAAGATAAATGTTTGTGAGCGAGTCTTATTTTCCTTGTAAGAATTCTGTCACCTCCACATTTACTTAATAGTTTTCACCTTGTTCTCTCTTTCACCTGTAGGAGAACTAGGACACTCTGGTAAATGAAACCTAGTGTAATCAGATTGTTCAGTGGCCAATTAGTCACTTAATTAAGCTTGCCTGGTAAGAGGACAGTTTAACTCCAGAATGTGTGATATTTATGGGCTCTCTTTGCTTAACTGGACCTGAAACACCATCACCCCACAGAGTGTGAAGAGTAGAACAAAACAAATGACCTCTGGGTCACGAGAAGAGAAAGTATCAAGCAAATTGACTCAAGCAGACCCCTGGGTGGCCACCACATGCCACATCTGTGTCCAAATTAAGCTGCTGCTCAACATGTCCCTCCCAGAGGCCACATTGAGCCAGAGAAACACCAGTGTCCACAGCCCTGGAGCCAGTATCTTTCAGAACTGCTCTCAGAACCAGATGATGAGACACAAAATAAAACCAGTCTCCTTAGTAAAGTGACCCAAAGGATTATAAATAAGCCTGGCCACCTCTAGAAATCAAATCTACAAGCAAAGGAAACAAAATTGGAGAAAAGCTGGAATAAGCAGGTAGCCATCCCAAGAGCTACTTATAATAAATAAGATTTGGGTTTCAGTATTTTTCTTGATAGAAAAGGAGCATTTTAGAAAGCAAAGAACCTAAAATAGAAAAACAAATCCTGGCCTTCCTGGTGGCACAGCGGTTGAGCGCTGGGTTGCGAAGCTGCCCACAGCCTCTGCAGCGCTGGTCGACCCCCGGCCACCTGCGAGGGTCCCACATGGCGCACAGACCTCTCCTGCTGCACCTGCTGCTCCCCTCAGCAGTGTGTTTCGTCAGTCTGCCTGTTCTGTTCCCCACTCTGGTGAATCCTCTCACCCTCCCACACTTCTGACTGTACCCAGTGCTTGTATAAATAAATATATTTTTTTTTTTTAAAAAAAGAAAGAAAAATCCTTTTTCTACCAAAAAACCCAAACCCTGCTACATTACTTCCAATTTCATTCATCCACTCATTTAAAGGCCAATGTCACACTCCCAGAGGCCCATTTCTCTTCCTTTGTTCTCCATGGACTTCCCTCACCTGCTTTCTTTGTAACGCTGTGAATACAAACATGAGTCTCGGAGTGGACAACCGTGAACTCCAATTCTCAACATATTTTAATAGCTACGTGATCTCAAAAGCGCAGTCTCCTTATATGAAGAGCAGGACCAATATGATGTACCTTTTAAGGCGATAAGGGAAGTAAATGAAAGCTTTATGAGGAGCCCAGAGGGGACTCAGAAGATGCCTTCTAGGTAAGCCATTGTCTCCTTGTTAGTATTCCTGCAGCCTGGGAGAGAACCCCGTCTGTGCTGCTTTACCACTTGCAGCAGATATTTCTACAATTTCCCATGCTTTGCTGACATTCCCACAGCACAAACAGCAGCTAGATGCACCTTCATAAGGATCCAGGACCCAGAGGAATGATGGGAATATCCTACAGGCTTCTTGAGTGCGCTAACCTGGAATCCTTTTGTTAACAAGCCTACAACTCTGGTTGAAAATGCTGAAGGAAAATGCTGAAGGGCCTCCCTGGTGGTGCAAGGGGTTAAGTGTCAGCACTATGAAGCTATCCATAGCCACTGCAGCATGAGTTTGATCCCCAGCTAGGGAGCTGACCCACGTGGAGCAGACCTCTCTGTCTCGCCTGCTGCTTCTCCAGCAGTGTATTTCAGTAGATCTGCCTGTTTTGTTCCCAACTCTGTCTCTGTTGAATCCTCTCACCACCCCCCGACTTCTGGTCTACACCCCAGTTCTTGTATGCATAAATAATCTTTAAAAAAAGAAAACGCTTGAGGTCAAGGAAAAACATGGCGCTTTCCTAAGCTGACATGGCCTCCACTGGCCTGTGAGCTGAGCAGAGGTCAGGTCTTGCACTTCTGAGGTGTCCCCCAGACCACAGCAAACTCCAGGGTTGATGAGGCACTCACTGAACAAAAACTGAAGAGCAATGCGATTTAGTGATTCTCTGGGTATTATCAAGGTGGAGTCTCGCAATGCTTCAATTTCTGATCTCATTTCCAGTAAATGGCTTCTACTTGGTAACTGGAAATCAGCTGTCATAGAAAATGGATTAACTGCTGAAAAATGTCAACACTTTAAATTTTTTTTTTTACAACTATTATAAGTGTGAGTCACTTCTACCTTAGGCTAGAGTGGTATTAAAACACACGGGTGTTTGAGTGGCTCCCAGCACCACGAGGAGGAGGCCTTAGAGGTACAGCTGTTAGCACTGCTCCGATTTGACTTCAATTTGCACTGAAGTTTTGTAGCAGAAAGAATTCTTTATTAGAGCCAACCCATTCACTGTAGAGATGAGGAAAATAAGGTTCAAACAGGTCATGCAACTCCCCCCAAGTGAAGCAGTTAAGCACAGGCCACTGAGCCCGAGGCCTGGCACCTCTGAACCTTACCACACAGCTTTGAAAACGCAGGTCACTTTCTTGTCTCTACTTCCTCTTTTCACACTGGGGCTAAGAGGTGTGTTACTTTTTTTTTTAAATTTATTTATTTATGCATACAAGAACTGGGGTACAGGCCAGAGGTGTGTTGGGGGGGGGCGGTGAGAGGATTCACCAGAGACAGAGGGGGGAACAGAACAAGCAGACTGATTGAAATACACTGCTGAGGGGAGCAGCGGGCAAGTCAAGAAAGGTCTGCTGCACTATGTGGGTAGCTCCCTGGCTGGGGATTGAACTTGTGCTACAGTGGCTGCCCACAGCTTAATAGGTTGCTGTCTTACACCACGAGGGAGGCCCGAGGTGTGTTACATTTCAATGGGATTTGAATATACTTTGTATCGAGGTTTAAAGAACTGAGAGTTACATACTTGCATATTGAGAACTTCAAATCTCTAAGAAAAAGGACACCGTCAAAGGTGACTATTAATTTTATTATAGGTCCAACTGAACATGAGCACACATAATGGAAGGAAGTAGAGAGAGAGGCTGGAAAAGCATGGAGCTGAAAGGGACCCACTGAGTCACCGGTGCTGCTGCTCAGCTGACGTGCGCGTAGATCCCGGCCTACAGCTTGAGCAAACACGGTGTTTGGAGGTTTTTTCCAGACACAGATTAACATTGTTTGATATCTGCTTTGTATCAGGAACTTGGAACACTAAGAACAAGTATTAGTGATTTTAATGCAACTACTGAAAGAAAAGAATTGGAAGATTCTTAAGCGAGTCATAAATATTGGTAATATCTCCCTGAAGCTACACTGGTACAAACCACAGACTTACTGAGACTCTCCACCCGGGAGCCCGAAGGGCTCTGCCCACACTCGCTACCCCCCTCCCTTGGGCTGTCCTGTTACCCAGTTATCTCTAAGTGCTATTAAAAACACCCTGGTATCTGCAAGTACTGTTAAAGACAATTTTTAAATCTAAGTGGAAACAAAGTCTTAAGCACAGCAGCACAGCTGCGGAGCCAGGGGAACAGGGCCTGGGCTTGAGCCCGACAACACCTGCGTGAGCTCGGGCAGTTCTGGGTTTTGGGTTTTTTCCCCACAGTAAACAGAGATTGCAGCTACCACGAAGGGACATGAAGTCACATGAGAAAGCATATAAACCGCCTGGCACATGGAAAGAGCCCAATAAACACAAAGACACTTAAAAGAGAGTTAGCGCCACCTCCATCACTATTCCCACAGCACCACCACTGCCAACACCTGCACCACCGCCCCATCACCACCAGCTTTCCTGTGATTTCAGCCATGAAACCTTAACAAGTCATGGAGTCGATAAAGGTAAAAATAACAAAAACCATTTGGCAGCTCATTAAAGACAACAAGTATTTCACTTTAAGATGGGGAAAAAAAGAAAGCTTCCAAGCCAAGATCCAAATAAAAATGATCAAATCACATCTAAAACTTGATGGATGACTGAAAGGAGAAAACGCCAACTGCCCCTGGGACTGGCACCTGCTCCCGCCCCGGGCCCAGCCCACTCCTTCCAACGCACTTGTTCAGCGGCAGCTTCATGGACGAGGTGCCGGCCCGGCTGTTCCCCCGCTGGATGCCGCCCGCCTCGGCTGACTCCGAGTCCTTGAAGTAGGGAGAGGGTGACTTGGGGTCGTCCCAGTCTTCGTCCCAGTCATCGTCGTCGCCGGTCGCTGGAGAGGGCACAGAAGGGCATCAGGTAAAGAAGAGCAGTGGCTTGTTTTCTGACGACTGCTGGCGGGGCTGACAATTTAAAAAATAAATGGGGCCAAGGGAGCAGCACGATGTGGACGAGAAGAGCGCGCCCCCAAACAGCACATGAGATGGCCTTTCACAGAGACCGGGGAGGGCGGCAGGGGTGCCAGAGCCGTGAAAAGGGACTTTAAAGCACTGGGAGCAGGTGGGGAAGGGCATGGGGGACAGAGGAGGGGGGAGCTGCCGGCTACCCTCGCTGCCTCCTCTTCCCGTGCTCTGCGCCTCGGGCTCATCCCAACGATGGCCTGGAAAGAGCCCTGTGGTTTCTGACAGAGCCACCCGGGAGATGCTGAGAGGCAGATGCCAGAACGAAAAAGGAGCAGGGAGCATTCAAAAGGCTTGGGCTGGGGCCTTCCCTTGGCCGCGCCAGGTCTCTCCAGGCCTTGTGCCCGTGACTCCTGGTCCTCGGCCTGCAAGTGGGAGCCTGGCACTGGGGCCTCTGTGGCTCCTGCCTGCGATTCATGCCATTTGGCACTTTCAGTTCCTGGCACAACGTTCACACAGGGAACATGAAAAGTAAGAAATAATGGATAGACCTCTATCTTTATATTCAATTTCAGAACAGACATTAATACCTTTCTTCATTTCTGAATTGTTTCCCCTTCTCTACGTTGCTCCTCTGCCTAGGTTTTTCTATGACTAGCTCTGGAGACAGGCAGGGAGTTGAGGAAAAGGAAAGGCAGCTAATTCAGAGGTCACGGGGCCAACGGGTGAAGAACCACATTTGATCTCTAATCAAATTTCTGGGGCCTCAGGTTTTACACAGATGCACGTTACTGCTAAGGTTTAAAGTGGGAGGACGATGTTAAAATCGAGCTGGTCCAATCTCCCTGCACTGTGGCCCAGCCAGGAATGCTGCCCTCCGGCCCTCCATGGTCTGACTCGTCCCTGAACGTCTGTGGTTCCCTGATGGAGCGCTGAGGCGGGGATGCAGGAAGGGAGGTCTGCTGTGTGAGAATGAGAGCATGAGCGTGTCCTCTGAGAGAACCTGCCCTGGTCTCTAAGGGCCCCCTCTCAGGAGAGTCTGTCCCCACCTGGTCCTTGGTAGGCCTGGGGGTGACCAAAGGCAGCGTCCCAGTTGTTGGACGTGTTCCGCTGGGCAGCGGCCCCCTCCGGCCTGGCTCCCCAGGCGTCTGTGCTGTCCCAGTTTCCAGACTTGGCAGCATTCCACGCCGACCAGGGGTCATTGCCACCGCTGACCTATTGTCAGGGGTAAAGGGAGAGAAAGTATTTGTGACTTCTAGAAAATATCACTCAATTCTCTAGGAATCACATAACAATTAAATACAATGAGGTGTCAAGAAGTTGGCAGCAACTTAAAAAAGGACTTAAATTTAAGTAATAAAATTTTATGAACACACAGATGATTGGTGCTTACATTTTGCCAAGCTTGCCGGGAAGTTTAAAACCAGCAACAAACTATCACACTCCTGCCCCCTTCCCGGAGGAATTGCCTTCCAAGGCCCCCGTCAGCCCCACGAGGGCCTCACGCCCACGGCGGTGCCCGGTGCCTGCCTCCTGGACTGGCCTGACCCGCCTGGTTCTGCTGGGGACCCCCAAGTCATCTCCGTTCCCCACTTAACACGGTTTTCAGAGGATATGAGCAGATACCAAGGATCTGTCATTCATTTTACCTGGTTCACAGCAACCCATTATGCTTTAAATTAGGTTTTAATTTTTATTTGAAAAAGCACATTTTCATTTAAAAAAAATCCTGACAGAATAAAAGGTACCTTTGCTGCCCTCCCTCACCCCCTACCCCTGGAACATTTCCTCTATCTTGCTTCAATCTGCATCCTGCTGGCAAATCTTCACAAACCTGACCAACTGGAAATCTCTGTGGCTTTTATCACTGGCTCTTTAGCCCTCCTTTTGCCAACCTCTGGGGACCTTCCTCTATAAGTAGCAACCAGCTCACATGTTCTGCCTCTCTATGAACACACCCTTCCTACACTTTGGCCTCTGACATTACTGCGTTCAATCCCAGGCGCCCTCTGGGTCCCTTCAACTGCACCTGCCCAGATGCTGCCCACTCTGCTCCTGTGTGAGGCTTCAGGCCCTGCTTTCCTCCACCCTCCCCTCCCTCTGCTCTGGGGCGCGGTGTTGCCATTCGTTTCTCTTCCTTCCCTTTATGGTGCCAAATCCCTCTTGAGCCTATCAACTCCATGCAATCAGAGCCCCCCCACCAGACCTCGCGGCCCATGGAATAAACCCCAAGTTCCTCAGTCCATCAACAAAGACCCTGTCTTCCCTCCATTACGTTCTCCATTCTCAACGCTCCCCACTGACTTTGTGCTTCAAACTTCAGTCTTCCAGACTTGCCCCATACTCACCTTCCTCACATCATACTCTATCTGCAAAGCCACCCTCCTCATCACCTGAACTGTCACTTCCTGTCCCACTGGGGGCTCTGGTCTGGGAGGAAATGCCTCATATAAAGTGCTAAGGACTCAACATTTAAAAAAAATTGGTTAAGGGCCTCCTCTGGTGGTGCAGCAGTTGAGCCCTGGGCTGTGAAGCTGCCCGCAGCCTCTGCAGCGCCGGTTCGATCCCTGGCCACCGGTAAGGGTTCCACATGGCACGCAGACCTCTCCTGTTGTGCCCACTACTCCCCTCAGCAGTGTATTTCGTCACTCTGCCTGTTCTGTTCCCCGCTCTGGCTCTGGTGAATCCTCACACCCTCCCGTGCTTCTGACTGTACCCAGTGCTTGTATAAATGAATAAATCTTTTTTTTTTTTTTAAAAGGGCGCTCTCTTTTAAAAAAAATAATAAAAAATAAAAAAAATTGGTTAAATATGTTCTGCCTCATTCTTATGAAATACACTTTCTTTTTTGTCAGACATCTAACCTTCACATCATTTTACCAAGAGGTAAACTGTATTTTCCTCATGTATGCTGACTAGAGTGTTCTATGAAAATAACCTGCTGTGGTCACAGAGCAAATCATTTCCAGCACCTGACACAAGCAGAGTCTTAATAATGACTTCCAAGTGACAAAAGCAGCATCAGCTTATGTAGAAAAGTTGAACATACAGAGAGGCACAGGTAGACAGGTGCGTGATGAAGCAGTGTTAGTGGCATAACCCAGGTTGTTCTTTATGAAATTCAATAACATTTTGATGCTTGAACTTTTAACAAAATGTTGGGAAACCCCAAAACCAGACTGTCTATCTATATGCTGTCTTTGGAACTCCATTAGGGCACGAGAAGGGCCATGTCCATCAAGGCCACCAGTGACCTTGAACGATGTCCATGAATGGGTCCAGCATGCAGTAAGTGCTCAGCTAAGTCTTAACTTAATACACCCCCAAGCACATGCGCTTGGGTCTCTGCTACAAACGCATTTTAATCTGCCCGCACCAGACCTGGCTGATGATGCACGACTCCCCCCTAGCCCCCACTCTCAGTAAATGAAATGCTCCTTAAGGTTAGGAGGGACAAAATATGCTCAGCACACTGGTGATTTAGCTGAATTGAAAAATTACCCTATGCTCAGCAGGTCAGATGAATTACACTGGCCTTAAATCATAAGACTTACTAAAATGTTCCCACCGGGAGGGCTCACAGCCTAAGGTGAGTCGTCAGTAAGAGGCTGGCGTGCACCTGCGGGAAAGCCTGGAGACCACAGACTGGCCAGGAGGGGGTAGGCAGGGGTTGGTACTCCTGAGATGAGAGCCACGGGAAAGCTGTCCCCTTACAAATATGCAAATTGGGGTCTTAGGGGACGAGGCTAAGGACATTGTCCCCTGTGTGAGCTGTAGGAGTTGACTTAAGTCAACCTTGAGTGGGTACAGCGATTAAGAACGCAGGCCCCAGAGCTGACTACTGGATTTGAATCCCAGCTTACCACTGATTAACTATGAACTCCGGCAGTTTACGCCTTCTCTTTACATTTCCACCCTTATAAAGCGAGCACAATAACTGATGTCCTCGTAAAGGTTTTGCAAGGATTCAACGATGTATCGCACATAAAGCACTTAACACCATCCTCGGAGCACAGTAAGCCGTCATAGAGGTTATTACAGGGGGACTCATCTAGGATACAAAGAACGAAGGCCGACAGTTCTTTGAGTAAATCCCCATATGAATGCTACAGCTACTAGTTCATGGTACAGAGTTACCTTTCCAAATGGTTGCAAGGCCAGGTCATGCTAACAGAAACTTTCAGTGGGAGAGGTGGTAACAGGCACTTATTTTCTATTCCAGCAAAAGATCTGCTTCCTGCACATGCGTGGAAGAATGGGAAAGAAGACAGACAGGTCTCCCCGCCATGTGCAATGGCACCTCCTGTGCAAGGGACTCTGCTGACGTGAAAAGCCTGGCTCCTCCTGAGCCCCACTGCTGGGAACAGACTGCACCCCAGAATTGCCTTCCTGACCCTCCGCTGTCTCCACTCTCAGGCCCAGGGATCCCTACTGCTCCTCAGCTGTGGGCAGCGGCTCACGCGGGATCCTGTCTGCCCCTTCACTAGGCCTCTCTGCCTCCTTCCTCTGCTTCCCGCCAAGCACTGTCATGATCCTCTCCCCTCCCCCTGTGGTGCCAAACCCCTCCTGATCCCCCTGTGGTGCCAAACCCCAGGAGGGGTTTTCACCCCTCCTGGTGAAAACCCTCCATCAGACCTCTCGGCCCAGGAACAGATCCATCCATGAGTCCCAGGGAAGGTCTCAAGCAAAACAACTCTGAGGTGTAAGTCCCAAGCACTCGCCAGTTCCCATCTGCCCCACCTTGTATGTCAGCAGGGCCTAGGAAAGCTGTGGTCAGGACTTCCCCCGAAACCACCAGCTCCGGGGGGAAAAAGGTTACTTTGAGGGGCTTGAAATGTTTCCTTTTGAATTTAAGTGTGAATTTTACCTTATTTATGGAGGAAGGAGGAGAAGGAGAAGCTGAAGAAGGTGGTGACTGGCTGAGACTCTCGACACAACCAGCCTGAGCCAAAACATCCACCTTAAGACAAAAAGGCTGCTCAGTAAATGGAGAAAGGAAAAGAAAGCACCAGAGCTTTGAACTAGATATAGCAAACTCATGGCAGGCAGAGCCAAACTCCCCAGAAAATTCCAGCATGCCACTCAAAACGACATGCAAAAAAGCAAAGCCCCAGTGCCAGGCGGGGGGGTCATCTGTGGGGACACTCGGCCAGTGCTGCCACAACTGGGGCTCTGAATCCCTAAAGACAAGCGACATGGAAGGAAAGGAACAAACGTCGTGCAGTGAAAGAAATGCAAGAGGAAGAACACAGGTGACCTTTTAAAAACATTAAACTGTTGTATCTTTTACTTTCAAAGCCATCAGACATGCCAGAGAGCCCAGAGGAGCTGAGCAAAGTGACCTGGTCCAGGCGGAGAAGCCAGAGTGAGACGTCCTGCCTGCCCCCAACCCCCACCTTCAGAGCCTGGGTGCTGAGAGCGCAGAGCACCAACACCTGTGAAGCCCATCGACTGTGGTTAGGACAACCCTGCAGCCCCATTTCCAGGCCTCAAGTTCCAGCACGCATCTCTGCAGGCAGCCATCCTGCCTCCAGTCACCAGCGGGGCCCCACAACGCACACGGTGGATGCAGCGCCCAGAGAATGCACATTTCAGGTATAATGCTCTCCTCAAGTGGGGGCATCTTAGAGATACAATTAAACTTGACTTTGAAGGACCTGATCCCTCCTGGAGAAACCGGCCAGGCCACAGATCAGGGATGGGGAATCCACTCAAAGACCAGTGACCTCTGTGAATCAAGGCGACAGAGCTGGGGGTCACGGGCAGAGATGGGCAGGGCAGGCTGCAAGAAGCACTCCAGCGACCTCAGGAAGCTCTGCAGTGTGCACATGAGCAGCAGCTACCCAGGGCAAGTGCGGAGGCCCCGGCCATCCCGAATGGAAAGTCTGAATTCATAGGGCACTGGGCTTGACAAAGGGTTGTGCCTAAATGTGAGGGTTGGCACTAAATGTTGTTCTAATCCCATCTTAAAAAGCTTTAAGAAAAGATCTGAAAGGAGTAAACTGTTTCCAAGTAACTGCATGTCAAACAAAGCTCAGACATATTTACGTTAATAAAAAATATCTAGTTATAAAAACAATGTTTGGCATCTAATAAGAAAACACCAAGCAGGAAAAGAACAGGAAATTATGACCTAATAAATAGATTTATTTAAAAAAATAAATTGATTGAAGTGGACCCCATAACGACACAAATGATAGAGCTGGCAGTATTAA